CCTCAGTTTCAGGCTGAAAAGGCTCAGGCCTTTTTTGGCTGAAACGATGCAGGGCCTATGGGCCCCGGATGTCAGGCTTTTGGGGTGAACCGTCAGTGGGTCTGCAGACCCTTATTTCCAGGCCTTGAGCCCGAAATTCAGGCTTCCAGCCTGAACGACGCAGGGCCTGGAAAATGACCCTCCTGTGCAGGCGCAACATGTAACACAATTGAACCCGGGGTTATCCTGACACCATCAGTTAGTTTGGCTTAGAGGCTCGCCACACAGGCTGTCAAAACCACAATTTTTGACAGTTTTGCACCGCCACATAGGCTGTCGACGAAATCCTTTTCAAATTTTTTTCGACATGTGTCAGGTTTGTGGTTTCGACAGCCGTGTTAAAACTCTCGTCTCCTCCCGCCTGCAGCTCAAGGATCTTTGACAGTGCGCAACCGTCCTGTCGAGAAATGCCTCCCTTTTCCCATTGTCAGGGACAAATCCCTGACATGCGTGCCGTTTTTGTCCTTGTGTGTTGTGTCTTCGACAGTGGCTGTCGAAAACGACTTTGACTTTTTTTTTTTTGTGGTGGTGTATCTGGCCATGTTTCATCGCCGTGTCCATCGTGAAACGCGTCGGCGTAACAACTCCCGACAGGCGACCTCCTTCGCCACACAGCAGCTGTCGAAAACCGAGTTGCGCTTCACGACTTTCGACAGCCTCTCCCCTCGACAGCCTGTGTGGCGAGGGGGGGGAAACTGTCGAAAGTAGGGCTGTAGAAAATTTCCTGACAGCTGTCAAAAATTCTCGACTTTCGGCAGCCTGTGTGGCGAGGCCCTTATAGTCGTCCCTCTAAAGTCTCTGTCACTCATTCTTCCGACCTTTAACTGGTTTGGCTGGACTATCCTATTTGGGAGTAGACTTGCTACCCCCCATCTCTGCAATCACTGAAAGGCCTCAGTGGGCCAGAGTCTAATCATCTCGGATTTCGACATGCTGTGTGGCGCAGAGAAAATGTCGAAGGGCCTCGCCACACAGGCTGTCGAAATGTGCAAAACGAGAATGAACTTCACGCTAGAACATGGCCAGATGCACCTGCCACATTTTTGTCGTTTTGGCGTTTCGACAGGCTGTGTGGCGAGGCCCTTAGAGGCTCGCCACACAGGCTGTCCAATGTCGAAAATTTTCGACAGGTGTCAGTAATTTTTCGACAGCCGGGCCCTGGACAATTTTGCCCCCTATAGCCACACAGCCTGTCGAGAGGCGAAATTGCCGAAGTAGGCAAGTCGACACCGCCTTTCGACAGGTGCTCGGTGGCGAAGGCCGTGGACTGTCGGGGTTGTTACATATATGAATTTGTCCACCCAACCAGACCAGATGCAGACGCCGTTTCGACAGCCAGTGTTGACTATATACGGACAAACAGGCCACGGCTGTCAGGGAGTAGTCTGGCCAACCCAAATTCGAACGCAATTTTCGAAAGCCCGGCGGTGGACTGTCGAATTTCCTTGAGCTGCAGGCGGGAGGAAACGAGTGCGGGATGGTGGCTGTCGAACGCACAAATCTGACACCTGTCGAAATTTTTCTGAACCCGAATTCGTAGACAGCCTGTGTGGCGAGCCTCTTAGTGGATGGCGCCGTGTGACCAGCCAAGTACCAAATCCCCATTTCTCCAGACGGCTGCGACCTTGTCCCATCTGAAAAGGCACAGCAGTGTAACGTGAACCGTGCCCAAAACCTCAGAGCGGCCCTTCCCAAATTGCGGATTTGGGGTCGCAGTGTGAGTATGCCCTGAGAGTGAACCTTACCCTAGAACATTTGAAATATACACCGCCGTAAATATGCAAAGTTCTGTAAGGAAAAAAGAAAAAATCACCTCCATACTTCGCTTTTGTGCATGTGGCGAGCCTACCGTCTTTTCCCCAGGAACGCACCCTGATTTGGCTGTACCTGACCGGGAGGGTGTGTTATGTTCGGGAGAAGGCGGTAGCTACCGTAGCGCCACCCAGCTCTCTCTCTCTCTCTCTCTCTCTCTCTCTCTCTCTCTCTCTCTCTCTCTCTCTCTCTCCTATCGGTGCTACGTGGTTCGTTCTTTGGTGATACGTGCCGTGCTCGTCACTGCTTGCTAGGTGGTTCGTTCTTTGGTGCTACGTGCTTCGTGCTTGCTACGTGGATCATTCTTTGGTGCTACGTGCTTCATGTTTGCTACGCGGTTCGTTCTTCTCCATGTCTCTCTCTCTGTGCTACCGGTGCTACGTGATTCATGAGCTTGGTGCTACGTGCTTTGTGAGCTTGGTGCAACGTGAATCGTCCTGCGTCCTACGTGAACTTCGTGCTTCGCTGCTACGTGGTTCGTGCTCTGACCTACGTGCCACATTGCACGTCGAAGTGCGACGTCCTACGTGCATCGTTATATAAATCATAAATGGATTGGAGGTTTTTTAACCAATTGGAAGCACATTTTTCATGTACAAGCGCATTTTCAACACTTTGAAAACTTGTCACTTAAAGCTTTAGATACAGCACAACATATTCGCAAGGTGCCGCGTTGCTGGCAGCGTAAATCTGAGCTTGGTGCCACTTTATTCGTGTGGTTGGTGCTACTTGATTCCTGAGGTTGGTGCTACGTGAATTGTCCTGCTTGGTACGTGAACTTCTACGTGGCTTTCTACTTCGTGAACTTCTACGTTGCTACCCTTCGTGAACTTCTACGTTGCTACCTGATTCGTCAGCTTGGTGCTACGTGCTCCCTGAGGTTGGTGCTACGT